GCTTGGAGACTAGCGATCAACGTGCCGGAACCGTGACTTTTGCTCCTTTCTCTTTTGCTCCAATCTTTTTTTTTTTAACTACTGTTTCTATTGGGTTTCATCTCTAGCCTACCCCAACTTGTTTGAGACTAAAAAGCTTTGTTGTTGTTGTATTTTTAGTGTAGCAAATTATCCAATTTCACTTTTTGTTCCCCCTCAAATAAATAAATTTCTGGTTCCACCCCTGACTTCGTATGAACTAAAAATGCAGTGAAATCTTGAAATAGACAGTGTCCCTATCAAGCTAGATATCAACTAATTATGCATTATGTATGAATTAAATATGCATTGTGTATGTAAGTTATGAAACTAAGTATGTAATTGATAGCAATTGAAACTAAATATGCAATTATATATGAACTAATAATTTATAATATATGAACTAAATAGCTTCAAAATATACAATTGCTATCAACTAAGTATGCATTTATAATCGGTTAAAGCCTGGTCAACGACCGCCAGCTGACAGTCAATGACGATAAGTTGATTTTTTATTATATAATTACTTTTAATATAATAATTATTATTTTATTATATCTAATGTAAATCCCAATTAATTAATATGAGTCATTGATTCTACTTAAATCAATGGCTATGATTCTACTTAAATCAATGGCTAGGACTGGACCTCACATCTCGAAATTGAAGGGTCCTAATTATATATATATAAAGAGAGAGAGATAGAGAGAGAGAGTGGGAGAGAGCAGTTTTGCTATGGAGCCATAAGATGGCTCGGCTTATGGAGTCATCCATAGTTATTTACAAATGGTGTATTGACATGTCCTGCAATAAATACATATTGGACATGTGTTAGTACATAAAGTTATGGATGACTCCATAGAATTTCTGATAGAGAGAGAGAGACTAAAACACACATAGACACACACACAAGTAAATGGTTTCTTGAGAAACTTCTTGTTTGGTTTGTTAGTGGTAAAGACCAAGTGTGTCCGTGAAATGACCTTAGTAACTGTGTCATTGTGTTTTGGGCCAGCAGGTTATCCTGTACCTTCTATCTTTAATGATATTCTCATATGATGGGTGACCTTGAGTAGAATTTGCGCATCTGTTTTCCGTCAACACTTATAATTAGTACTAGTACATCGTGTCAAGCACAATGCATTTTTCCCATAGCTTCATTACAGTTAACATAATTGGATTGTTCATTTCTGCATCTAATCTTTTCTGTGACACAATATTAGGACATCAAAGAGGCTCTAAAGCTTCAGCTCCAGTGAAGCATGAGGTTCAGAAGGCAGTACCTCCTATTGAGGTGCCTGCTCTGTCATTAGAGGAACTGAAAGAGAAAACAGACAACTTCGGTTCAAAGGCATTGATTGGTGAAGGATCTTACGGAAGAGTATACTTTGCTCAGCTGAATGATGGAAAAGAGGTTGCTGTCAAGAAGCTTGATGTGTCCTCTGAGCCTGATTCGAATGTTGAGTTCTTGACACAGGTATGCAGAAAATATTTCCGAGTGTTATCCACGTTTTCCTAGTTTTCTAAATTTTTTTTATATGATGACCAATCTGAATATGATCAATATTTGCATAGGTTTCGGTGGTGTCAAATCTGAAGCATGAAAATCTTGTTGAATTGCTTGGCTACTGTGTAGATGGCAATCTACGTGTATTAGCTTATGAATTTGCAACCATGGGATCTCTCCATGACATTTTGCATGGTATGTAGAATAAACTGTTCTTTAATTACCCTTTTTTTTCCAACTTTGAGGGTTATTAAAGGAAATAAGAATATATTTGGCTTGTTTTATTTATTTATTTATTTTTTTTTTTCTTTTTCTCTTTTAAACAACAGGAAGGAAAGGAGTGCAAGGAGCACAGCCTGGGCCAGTACTTGACTGGATGCAAAGGGTAAGAATTGCTGTTGATGCTGCGAGGGGACTGGAATATTTGCATGAGAAGGTACAGCCTTCAATAATTCACAGAGATATCCGATCCAGCAATGTGCTTCTTTTTGAAGACTATAAAGCCAAGATAGCAGATTTCAACCTTTCAAATCAGGCTCCTGACATGGCTGCCCGTCTTCATTCTACTCGAGTTCTAGGAACCTTCGGTTATCATGCTCCAGAGTAACGTCTATCAAACTCTATTCTTCTCACCTAAAATGCATGTCTACGAAGGAAGTCGTTAGGCTTTAATCGAATATCTTCATTTTAGATAGGTCTATTCATGATTTTGAGTCGAAAGAGTGAGAAATATACCAATTATGGATTTAAAGAAAGCATGCCTGAAGTCAAATTTGACGATTCATGATAGACAGGGTTCACGATTCTTAGTCAAGATACTGCAAAGTGACATCGCACACTGATTATGCAAACAGTCTTTTTTGATATTTCATCTCCTTTGTCAGCATCTGATGACATTGGTTTGAAATATGTAGTTGCTGAAATTATTGATAAATAATCGAATTAACATCCAAGAACATAATGGTGCCTATTTCCATTAAACCTAGAATGAAAAAGCATTTTTCTCACTAATAGCATCTATACGCCATACAACAGCCGAATATATGTTTTGCTGCTTCCTGGAGAATTGAATGATTTCACATTTAGCTAGTTGAAAACAATGCTGTGTCCATATGAGCTGTGCTAGATAAAGGTTAAACAAACATGCTACAAAAAGGTTTAGTATATAGATATACTAGTATATTTTTGTTTCTTAAGATGAGATTGATGTTTATCATTTTGTCTGTTTTGACATTGTTATTCTATGGATTCTAAGCAAAACCTGACATCATCCATATTAACTGTACTGATTGTTGTGCAGATATGCAATGACAGGACAGTTGACACAGAAGAGTGATGTTTATAGTTTTGGGGTTGTTCTGCTTGAGCTTCTGACTGGAAGGAAGCCTGTCGATCACACCATGCCACGTGGGCAGCAGAGTCTTGTTACCTGGGTGAGAATTTCATTTCATTTGTTTTTTTTACCACCAATACTTCGTTTTCACATTTATAAATGAGTCTTGTGCTGTTTTAGGCCACACCAAGATTGAGTGAGGACAAAGTGAAACAATGTGTTGATCCAAAACTCAAGGGAGAGTATCCGCCAAAAGGGGTGGCCAAGGTTGTGTTTCGATTGTATGTAATGTTACTAATTAATAATGGAGAAAAGAAAGTAGTCTTTCTGATACACGTGCGTTTGTTGTTGTTATCAAACTCAGTTGGCAGCTGTTGCAGCATTGTGCGTGCAGTATGAAGCAGAGTTTCGCCCGAATATGAGCATTGTTGTCAAGGCTTTGCAGCCTCTCTTGAAGTCGACTGTCCCTGCTCCTGAGATTTAAGTGTGAAGTTTGCTCCGCGTGTTTGTTTATGTTTTCATAAAATGCCATTTTATTATTTGTTTCCTTTTCTCTGCTTCTTCTGAGACCATTATCTGTTCGGTGCTCTTTCCTGATGCTATTCGGAGTCTGGTGGTGATGTGATTGTTGGTATTATGAAATTGAGCCGTTGCTGTGTGTGACCGACTCTGTGTTGCTTGCTAAGGCGGCTAAACACAGATTTTATTGTTTTTTCCTTTCTATTTTTCGTATGGGTGATATGATTATTTATGAGTTTCTTTTGAGTGATTTTCTTTGTCAATTCAGACCAATTCAATTTGGCTTTGGCCCTTTCTTTTCAGAGTTTGGCTTTGTCATCATTTTCTTGTTTCTTTTCCTTTAAGGATAAGAAACATAATTTGCATTTGCATATTTTTTTTTATATATATTTTAATATAATATCATCTTTTTTCCCATGCCATCTAGAACTAAGAAGCAATATTTGTTTATTGCAATACAGAGAAAAAAAACAAAATACTCTTACACGCACTCTATGGGATTCAACCTTAGAAATTGCTTTTCTTGGGAAGTAACGTGATCCTCGATTGAGTTAGGGCTCTTTTGGGGAAGTTGATAGGATTAAAAAGGATAATCCCTTCTTATCTACATAATAATAATCCATTCTCTCTTGATTAATCCGACAGAAATGAGAGGCTCGAGATTTTTCCCGTACGCAAGGGAGAATGGATCATCAAGAGAGTAGACGTGGCCAGTCAACGGCCTGGGCCGATTTTGATTTCAGTTTTTTGTTGAACTAGAACTGGCTTGGGAATAACTATGGGCCAGTTTAATGAATAGGTTGTCCACTATTCAAAATCGGGCTGGGGCTAGTTCAGGACGAAACGTCATTTTTTCAATTAATTATGTTTAAAAGAACTGGGGGAGATGAGAAAATTGAACTTGAGCTTAGTTGAGATAAAAATGTCAGTTAAGTTGAAATATTTTTGGTTAAAAAATGGTAGTCTAACTTATAATATGTCAATTAAGTTGTCTACGTATAGTTTATCTTGAGAATCAAAGTTCTCGTCGTTCGTTTACTTTAGTTACCTTGATTAAGGAGATGACAAAATGCGTTAAATGATCTAGTAATAGTAGGCCTAGTCGCCATCGTTTTCGGTTCTGCCTGTCTCAGTACTAGTACTAAAATCGTTCAACTCTTTCGGCCTTCTTTCAATTGCTCAACAAAATTTGAGCTTCTAAGTTTTGAGGCTTTGACCTTGACCGCACTCACTAAATGTTTGTTCAACCGCCACAGTTGAGTCTGTCACATCAAAAATCTTCTTGACCAACAAGCATGGAACATGGGAAATGGACTTCATTTTTTGCTACGAATCCGAGCATCGAATGTGAGTGGTGGTGATTGAGTTCATCATATCCAATCCCCTTATTTTCTTGCAATCCTAGAATTTTTATAGGGGTAAAATGATAGAAGCCTATTCATCAATGTTTGTGCCCAAATCTGCCGATTGTTGAGAAAAATTTGAAGAAGTAGAAGAAGACGAAAAATGGAGGATTTTCTCCTAGTCCGATTGCTAATTTCTTAAATAAGTCATACAATAAATATTTTGCTTGCTAAACAAGCAACAGTGGGTAAGGTCGTTCAACGACAGACATGGTATCAATGGAAAGTGGGAATTTAATACATAAGTTCATAATAAGTATGCAGTTGGTTGAGCAATCAAGTATAGACTGATTTAACAAAGTCACAATTAAAAATATATGATGTATGTAAAAATGATATTTTAACAATTTTCACAACATATAATTTTCAAGGTCAAGATGTTTATACAAACCACTAGGGAAAAAAAAACTTTGAATTCTCGCATAACGGCTACACACTGAACAACGACAAGTTGAGCAGTAGAATATTAAACACCAGAAAGTATGTCAGTTTTGGGATCTATGAGGATCTTCGAATTATGCAAGTCACGAATTAATCTACGAATAAACCTATGCGCAACGGATCTAAAGTTTAGCGTAGAAAACTTATGTATTAAAATTGAAGACTCTGAGATGTGGTAGATTTCCTTTGATGGAGATCGGTTGATTCCACTGGCCAAAAAAATTACCTCGTCAAATGCTCGAAGTCGCCGGGAGATTGTGGGTCGAACGAGATCGGCTTAGGTCGCGCGGGTTGTGTACGACTGTTTGGGTGTGTTGCGGCTGGTGTGCTAGGCTCGCTGGTCGCGCACATCCGGGGCTATTAGTGGGTTCTCGACTAGGCGCGACGGTGGTCAGGTGCTTGTTGGAGTATACTGTAAAAGCTCGACTTTGTGTTACTCAACAATTTCGTGTTGAATGAGATGTGTGTTTTTAGTCAAGTGAATGTTCGTAATTAAGTTATTTATCCGAACATTGTTCCTTTACATTACATTGTAGATACTATGGTTCTAGGTCTGGAGCAGTAAGATAATATTATTAGTTCTTTGTGAAATATAAATGATGGTTCTTTGTTCTAAAAGTCGGTCTAGACAGTGTCCGGCCGCCTCCAATTTGCATAAATCGACTGAAAATCAGTCAGGCGGCGCCTAGGCTGACTTGGCGAGCTCGGTGGTCAGGCGACTTAGCGGCGCCTAGGCAAGCCTAGGCACCACCTAGGCACTCCTAGGCGGGCTCGACCAAAGTTTTTCAATTTTTTTTTTTAAAATTTTAAATACCGATTACATTATTTTGATATCATGTTTTCTTTATAATATACTAATACTATTATTTGGACTTAGGTGTGTTGATTTATTATAAGTTGAGATACTTTTATTTTGTAAGTAATAAAAATAAATAAAATATAAGATATTTAATCTTGATTTCTAGGCCCCGCCTAATCACCAACTAGGCCCCGCCTAGGCGCTGGTCGAGCGCTTAGCTGGCGCCTAGCGACTTCTAGAACACTGTTTGGTGGACAAATAAACTAGCTTATAACTTATTTTATTAGCTTATAAGTTTCATGTATTCAAATAAACTTCGTTTGGTAGCACGTATTTTTCTAAAAAGCTCGAGCTTATCTCATAAGCTTCTTTGGGTAGCTTTTCAAATAAGCTCGTTGAAATTTTTATTTTAGCTAGCTTATCAGCTAATTTTACCTAACATATAAGTTAATTTTTCACCTAATATAAGTCATAAACTATAAGCTATGAGCTCAAAAATCACTTTTAAGCTATAAATTAGTTTAGCAGCTATCAACTAGCTTATCAGTTAGTTTTACCGAACATAGAAGACGGAGAAATAGAATGCCTATGTTCCATGCTCCAACAATTGCATCAACCATAAAAATAATGCCAGCGTCAGTTTATATTCCAAATAAGACTACAGTTCAAGGTGATCAAACTCTAACCTCCTCCAAAGCTTAAGACGAGTAGTCGCTTCAGCATTATCAAGAAAAGACTTACATAACCCAAAATTTGAGATTTGCTTTCACTCCTTTCATTCTGATATAAGCTGCACCCTTCTTCAACCTTAACAAACAATTCCACAGCATTCCTCATGTGTGTGTCAAATACAGGAGGTAGATATAAAAGAAATAGTACAAACATGCATAATAATGTTAATCAAATACCTTGCCTATTGCTTGGGTTAGAGGATCTCAGCAATAGAATATCAAATCAACAATGCCAAATCCTTCGCACTTGATCGAATAATATTTAGGAACTAAATTCTTAAAATCTTTATTTACAATTTTGAGTCATATAGTGAGGGTTCAAATACATCAATAGAGAAACTAAAATTCCTTAGGGCTCTCATCGAGCCGTGGCAAAGTCAGCTTATTCTCCGGTCAGCTGAAATAGCTCTATATTATTTCATATGATCCAAATCCTTCAATCTAGATTCAGGTTTAGTGCTTTTACTCGTCACCACCCACCCCTCCACCCCACGCCCCTCAAACAACAGATACAATGCTACATAGAAAGTTGTTTCACTTTGTTTTCCTCTAAATTTGATCCCATACTTTGACCCAATCATGTATAGAATGTCCAAAATAGAGGATAGGCATGTTGATTGCTGTTCTCAAGTTTCTTCAGGTACTGAGCCAGACCAATCACTTAGCCCATAGTTTCCGTAAAACCAAAATATGCTAATTATATCTGTTTCCCTCGGTCCTGCCAGAAAATAAACTAAGATATTATTACAGCTTAAGATACTGGGACAATGCATTTAACTGAAACAATATATAACACAAGTTCAAGATCGATAACTTCGTCATCTTCAAGATGATTCCAGAGATTACTACACATCATCGAAGCTTAAAATCTTATTTTCCGATAGCATAGCTATCTAATTCATCACAGCATCTTATGAAGTACTCTTTGCTTGAAATTTTCAGTGGCCGAATCATTTGTTTGAGCTACTAAATAGCTGTCACCTGAGATAATTCCAGATGATTGAGCATATCTGAACATCTTGGATAGATTAGCAACTGAAGTTTGAACAATCTTTGATGAAATTTCTACAATAATGACATTTAATGAACTGTTGAATTTCTCATAACTTTCGGTTTTGGGAAATCTAACAGATCTCTGGCACGAGAACCTTGTTTCTTCACCAACTAGTTTAATTCTAAGAGCTTCATACTCGGGCAATAACAAGAATGTTCAAAACTGTTTCCATAAATGTTAATGGTGTAGTTAATTTAAAGGTGACTTCATCTCAAATTGTTGCAAATTTTCCAGCTGATTAATTATCCAAGATGCTCAAGAAAAAGGCTTCATCATAGCTCAAACTACGTATATTCAGCAGCTCAAACAAATACGACAACTCCTTAGAGTCAGACTACTTCTCGAAATACTAAATTGCAGTTCAAAATAGAACATTGTCGCAGATAGTTTAGGAAGCGATTGACTACTCAAAAGCCAACTCAAATTTAATCCAACTCAACTCTTCTCAATATTATCAATGTAATTAAATAATACCAATCAGTCTCTTCACCCATCTCCTCTATTATCAATGTAATTAAATATTACCAATCAACCTCTTCACCCATCACATCAATTTTAATCCACTAACCATCCACTCACATTGCCCTAAACTCGAATTCGCCGAGTTTGATGAAAGTAAGGCCTGAATCCTTCCTATCATTTCGAATAACACATCTCCTACTTTTAGTACATCAACTTTAATCATTACATTTCAAATATTATTTCATAAACAAACTCAAAATCCCACCCAATCCTCCACTCAATCAACTTTATTCAAAATTAACTCACTCTAACTAATATATCCAATCAAAACCAGTTTCATTATATCCACTCCCCCCTTTAATGATCCAGAGCACCCCTTTTTCGTGAATTTCTCAAGGAGAAAGCTCCAAACCTTTCATGCTCTTATTGATCAAAGACTAATATAAGAAAATCCTCTTCTTATATAGAAGGCTAAATTCTCTACTTAATTAACATTCGTTTAAGAACTTGATGTTTCTCCCAGATACACCATAAAAAGCCATCCAAGTACGATGGCAATGTCTCGTATTTGCTAACTCTGAAGAGATACTTGTTAAACAGGTCCACAGCTCCAGTCAGTGTAAACTCAAACATTTGTGCAAACAATCGGCGTCTTCCAGTTGCCTAATTTTACAACGACAGCATTCTTCAGCTGTTGTGCATAAACATTCCAATTAGTGTCATTAAAACATCAGCAAGAAACAATCATCAAAGACAAACCTATATAACTTAACCCATGTTGATAAAATAAAAGGATTATCCCTGAAAAAACTGAGACAACTGACAAAACATTACCTCTGAAACTGAAGTTAAAAATAAGATCTAAAGGAGATCATCCCTTAGAGCGAACAATGTATCATTGAACAAAATATTGCAGAAATAACTGAGCGACACTGAAACTAATCTTACACTGGATAACCCCTCCAATTGAGCACTGTCTATTTTAAGTTGATACATGTTGGCTTCTCTGTTCATCTTCGGCTAATCCCTGTATTAGCATACCAACGAGTGAAGCTTAAATTTGATAAATTATTAGCGCTATGTATACAAAATCAGAAATTACAGGATTAAAGGAATTAAGAGTGAACTATGCAAACAATCTCTTGACTAAAATTAGAATATGGCAATCCGCCTGAGTGATTCAAATGTTTCAGACAATCGTAATCCCATTCCTTATATAACCTTCAAAAAATGCAGCAGACAATGGACATAACTATCACGGAATCAAAGTACATTAGATTGAAGCCAAGAACTACATACCAAACCCAGTGCTTCCATTACACTCTGATCAATATCTTCGCCACAAACTGTGATGAAAGACTTCAATATATGCTCTCTTTGTTCCAGACTTAAAGACTTGTCAAGGCCTCTGGCAACCATTTCCATCTCAGGCTGCAACAACTCGTGATGAATAAATAAATCAAAACTTTAAGTTGTCACAAACAAACCCATTAAAAAACTATCTAAGAATAGGGGCTTTTTTTTTAAAAAAAAAAAAACCATAAATACTTCAAAGTGGCAATGATACACACTTGTGGAATCAGATTTGTAGAGAAGCATCAGAGAAGTACAGAATTATGGTTGTGAAACAATAAGGGTGAACATGCAGTATATAAAGTCAAGTTACATATAACTGAACGCACATAATAGGTTCATTTTCAAATCTAAGTGTTCAGATTTACTGTTTAAGTATATCAAGGCCCTATATATGACAGGCGGCCAATGAATGTCATTCATATCAAAGGAAAACTTCAACTCAAAAAACCGTATGTTTGTATCACGGCATCAATGCAAAACAAATAGGGTTTTTCTTTTTTATTTTCTTTTTTCCTTTAAGTCTAACCTCCCACACCAGTTATCACGCCGTCTTGAAATTCGCTGCCAGTCCAAATGTTTCCAGAAAACTCTGGGTGTGCGGGTCACACGCGCCGTAACAGTACATTGCCGGCGCGTGACTCGCCAGAATTAAACTTCCATGGGATCGAATTTTTGAGGCATTGCTGCCAATGCTTTTAGTCTCCTGTTTTGGAAGTTTTTTGGTGTCCTTTGTTTTGCATTTTCCAGACAAGCCATTTGTTGGGGTTAGGGTTCGTTTATTCAATCGATACCTACACTATTAAGTTCCTTTTTATCCTCACTCGTCCGTTTTTTATCTTATGTTGTCCGTCGCAGCCACTTCATTCATATACATCGTTGTTCGTGTATCGTCCACCCATCGCAAAGGTGTTTTGCCATACATATGTCGCAACTCAATGCAATTGTTATCAATATAATTCTTGATGGCCAGAATTATCTGGAGTGGACTTTTTATGTGGGGTTATGGTCTAGTTTACTTGACTGATGATGGACCCGAACGAAACAAATAATTCATAATAGTAATGTTGTTGACATCATCATAATGCAAATTAATGACGGAAAAGTGATGGTTCCCATCGTCAATAGTGTCAATAGTGTAAAGCAGCACATGACTATGATCATTTCCTCTTTTCAAATAGCCAAAGCGTTGTGGTCCTATCTACAACAATAGGTTCCAGATAGTGGTGCACTCTTGCACACATTAATGCAGCAAATTCATGTGAAATAGAATTATATGTCAGTTGATGAGTACTACTTGGCCTTTGATCGATAGATGTGACCATTGGTCTCCATGATACCTTAGAGTCTTCAGCATATAAATTGTTGAGATACTTTTTAAATATCGCTTAGTCATGGGAGTTAGAGCAAAATTTGAGTTCATTCACGTTGCTTCATAACTTTTCTACTCTAATCATGGCACGAGCATTGCTTGATTTAATTGCTTAACAGACTCGTGTTCGATGTATGTCACTTGCTGCTCTGTCAGTATCTCATAGTGTCTTGGCAGCTTCTCGCCGCTTAGTGCACCTAGAGGTGGCTCTTCAAATTCTTGTGTTTCTCGCTATGTGTTTCTCGCTCCTTGTGAGCACATTAAAATGACTACTTAGTCGGATAAGTGCGTATTTTTAGAGTATAGGCCCTAGCATAATGGTTACGTTGTTATGATTCTTCACTGCATGCTTATATTTTGTGATGTAACCTTTATCGTGGATCGTCCTTTCTTTTATAACCATTCCACACCCCACATCTTCTTCTATATAGTCCACGTCCATATGTCTTCCTCCTATTTGCTTCGTGATGATGTTCCCTCTTTACCATCTCTCTTAGTCCCAACCTCTCATGATGAGCCTCCACCACTCCACCACCCAATTCTGACGAGTAGACCACTTATCACATAGGTTTATACTCGTCGTCCAATAGGTCACACAAGGCTTCGGCCTCATTCTCCTTTCTCGGCCAATCTCGGCTGACTTGTATGATGCTTTAGTCTTTGATGATTCTGATGTGTCTCTATTCGTGGAGAGTCTAGAGATATAAATTACGTGATCATGCTACTATTGAGTCACCTGATATGTTGTGTTTTAAGTTGGGTTTTCCAGGTGCTAGTGCTATTGTTGATGAGACATCCACTTATCAAGAAGCTTCGCGTATTTCAGAGTGGAAACTTGCTATGTCTGAGGAACTTGTTGCACTTGTCGTACAAGCACTTGGGATTTTGTTCTGTTACAGTAGCATGTCGTACCTATCACTTGTAAGTGCTTTAACATTAACACAAAGTCAAATTGTTCCATTGAGAGATGTAAAGCTTGTCTTGTTGCTAGAGGCTTTTGGCAAACTTAAGGACGGGATTATGATGAGACCTTTGATGCTATTGCTGAAATGACCATTGTTCCTACTCTAATTGAGGTGGCTGCTACTCATTCCTGGATCAAGAAGATCTTGTGGGAGTCTGGTTACCAGGCATGAAATTGCTTATGATGATTAATATATTGAGTCAGTTTGTAAGTGCTCCTACTTCAATTCATTTTGGATATTTGCTTCGTGTGTTACGGTATTTAAGGGACACATCATCTCAAGTGATTGTTTTTTATTCTTGTGATTTTCTACTTCAGCTTCATGCTTACTCTACTCTGGCACTACTTGGGTGAGTAATCCAACATATCATCGTTCTGTCACTTATTGCATTTTTCTTGGTTCTCTTCTTACATGTAAGTCCAAGAAGCAGGTCGTTGTCGCTCTAGCACAAAGACAGAACTTCGAGCACTTGCCACAACCACTTCAGAAATTATATGGTTTCGATGGTTGTTAGCTGATTTTGGTATTCCATGTGATGCTCCTACGCATCTTTTTTGTGATAATACTAGGCCAGACAAATTGCCAATGATCCAGTAAACAAAACACATTGGTGTCGAAGCTTCCTTTACACAGTCTCATTGTCATCAGAAAACAATTGTTCTTCACTATCTGCCCTTTGAACTGCAACTGGCGGATTTTTTCACCAAAGCAAAAACTAGAGAACAACATCGGCTACACTTGCTCAAACCCAATGCTTCGGATCCTCCTCCACCTTGAGTATGAAGAGAGTATTAAGTATATCAAGGTCATTCATATCAAAGGAAGGTATCAACTCAGAAAACCCTAGGTTTGTAAGACTTACTACAAATCCGAAGCTAATGCACTAACTTGTTAACTTGATAATGATAATTGCAAGAAGACAGTGTTGTCAATCACGTAGTTCAATGAGATGAAAAGGACAGTGTGATAGTCAGTGGCTGATAGGTGGAGGCTGTCATCGATTCTGTGCGGCTATTGGTTGTTGCCCAGTTGTTGGTCGACGGCAGGCACGACGGGGCGCACTGTCCATGGTTGAGGTCTGGTGACAACAATAAACGGTGGAAGCGTTGGGCCATGCCTGAGCATCTCCGGTGGGCTGTATACCAGCGACGTGAGCAACTAGTGGATGTTGGTGTGTAGAGCATTGGAGTGGCCGGACAACCAGACAGTCGTTCGGCGACGGGGCTGTGTGAAAGTACTTCAGGCACGACATGGTTAGCAAGTGCAGCATTGAAGGACGTCCGATGGTTTGTTTTTGGGAAGATTAAATTTTTCTTTTTTTTTTTTTTGTTTTGAAAAATGATTTTTTTTTAATATTTGTGTGTAACATCTTACATCCAGTCAGCAAAGTGTTAGGATGCCTGTTATCTCTTGCCGGAAAGCGGTAGGCACAAGACTTGCCATCGAACAGATTTAGGTTCGGGTTGCAATTTTTTAAAAAAGTCGTGATATGTTTGCAATTACCTTAAAGTTTGGTTTACATTGCAAAAAGGTTATAGGTCATGATTTTATATGCAATTAAGCCTTGAATTAAACATCAGAAAATGAAAGAAGCTATGTCTATAGATCATTATAGCAAAGCAAACAATGAAGTAAACGTGGAATTTTCTGGCATACATATCATAGAAACGCGAAACGGGATAAAGTAAGTCTTGATACGTTGAATAAAATGTTAGCCTGATTTCGTCCGAGCAGAATAAGCATGAGTTATCAGATTTTTCAATGCACGTTTGATCCATTAAATTCCACCATTCAAAGGCATCAGCAAAAGCACATAACAGAAGATGCAAAATAGGACTGCACAAAATTTACAAATTTATGCCCTCGCCAATTTTGAAATAGGTATTAGGTCATTTAGTTTCCAGAAATTGGAAAGTCAGTTATAGATTTGATATATATACTGCTTCTCTGTGCATCTTTCCTCAAGCATCTAAAAGGGAAATTTGCTAAGGGTGTGACTAGATGTAAACTTAACCAATAAAAACCAGTCAAAATTCAAATTTAATTCAACTCCACTATCCTCAACATTATCAATATAATTAAATGATATTAACCAATCATTTTTACACATGACATCAACTTTAATTACTTATTCATCCACTCATATAATTTTAACTAACCATTACTTTCAATCATTTTTCTCCTACTTTTACATCAAATCAACTTTAATTATTTTATTTTAAATATTATTTTAATTTAAACTTAAATTTCCACTAACAACTTATTTAATCAAAATCCATATTCAAAGATTAACTATGGTTAACAAAAAGACCAATCAAATCCATATTCAATCACACCCTAAATCATTCCAAACAGCCTGTCCATGTTAGCCCGTATACTAACAGGGTGATATTTTTGTTGTTAGTTAATGAAGAGGGTGGTATTTTGTTGTTCGTTTCATTATTCAGTTCTTTATCCCAGTGATGTCAACAACTTAGATTAGGTAATGTATTTCCATATAAATTGTTTGAACCTTTATGGTTCACAAAACAGCTAGGTCCATAGATACTTTTGAACGGATGATAGTCCATCTTTAAGAGAGTGGAATTTGAAGTGGGGAATTATGAAACAACCTAACACTCCAGTCTCAACATAATAGTTGCAATATGACTAAGTGCAGATAAATTATGCATAACTGTGGCTGTATCTATGTCACACTTTCAAGAGTTTCAACTATAAAATGGTTCTTGTTTATACTGATCAATATTTTTGACTGATCAATATTTTTGGTTAAATAGAAGCAGCAGATAAAAATATCAGACCAAATTGATTTTCAAATATAATGGTGCACAACCTCAGCAGCAGATTCCTGTACCAAAAAAAATAAGGCACTTCATAAAAGATTCCACTGAAAATAAGAGAGAAAGACGTACTGAGTTCTCCTCGGGAGGGAAGACACGGTGGATAAGACAAACTTTGAACAGTTCCACTAGTGCTTCAGCATGTTTATTTTGAACTTCTAATGCCTGAAATAAAATAACTAAAAATTGTTAATAAATCACTAACATGGTAAATGTTATTTATTACAAAGATAGCACATTGCCGTGATCGTGAATAAGATTCTATTGTTTACGTTCTAGAATATGGAAACTGATGGGACAACAATGCCTATATTTGATGTATCATTTGAAAAGGTAAAAAAAATGTCACATAAAATTGACTCCTCATTAGATATTTCATGTGAAAAAATATATTATGACATCAATATTAAACTTGATGTAATTGAACTTCACATCCTCTAGGGAAGTACTGTAGTAAGACTTTTGTTTGAGATTGTAAGAGACATTTTAAGACTTTATGAGATTTGAGACTTTTTAAAATTTTTAGATTGAGGAATCTGATTAAATCTTAAGTGATAAGTGAGATTTGGAGTGGGATTTTGCATATGGTGTTTTCATTTGAAATCCCAACAAATCTTAAAAAGTTTTAACAAATCCTAATCTCAAATAAGTTAAATACCTCATGATTTATAAGATTTTTTAACATTTCCATGAATGCCTGAGACTTTTAAAAGAGTTTAAAAGGTCTAAATTAATAAATACATCAAAATTTCTGAGATCTTAAAAATGCCTTTAGAAATCCCAAATGAATACACTCCGGAGGTGGGATTTGGTGTGAGATTTCAAATAAGGTTTTGTCTATGAAATCTCAACAAATCTTAAAAAGTCTTAGTAAATTTCTCAAATAAGTTAAATACCTCGTGATTGGTTAAAAACTTTTGAAATCTCAAATGAATGCCTAAGTATTTTAAAAGTCCTAAAAAGTACAAATTAAATGCACGGATACTTAAAGTCCCAGCAATTTTTAAAGAATCCCAAATAATACACCCGTAAGGTTATATATCACAAATAAGAACCACATAGCATACCCAAGCCTGCAGAATTCTTGACCGTGTATGAGCAGCAACAGCAGCAATTACCATTCTCGCGGCATGCGTGCTCTCAAGTCCAACGTTATCAGCAAGCCCAGCAATGAACTGGCGGATATCCTCACCATTAATCTGAATGGTGGTAGCATCATTTGATATGCTATAAAAGATAAATCAAGTTAATAATAATATGTGAAAGAAAACAAGGAAAACAGAAAAAGATCCTAATACAAAATTGACAATTGTGAGAAGAACTTTATATGATGTACCTCTCACAATAGTCCAAAATAAAGTTAACGGACAAACGATAAAGCGAATCACGTGCATTTTCTGTGTCAAAGATAGCCCTCACTCCATATGTTTTGCATAAGTAACGTAACTGTGGAAGTGAGGATAGGAAAATAACAAATCAATTTAGAACAGATTCAAACGAAGTTAGTTTGTTTAAGATACATCCAATATCTGGTGATCATGATAAGGAATTCCAGAAATAATAGAAAGAATGAAATGATTGTCATGGGGAACTATTTGATAACTGTGGACCTATTTGTTTTCATCTTAAAAACTCTATAACACTGCTACTTACTCAATCCTGGCTTCATATGTTATGTTCATAGTCCATAATTATGGTATGCGATTTTTTAATTTGATATAGAGTGTGCTCTTATTGTAGAGTTCTCTACTCAAGACTCTTGGTAGGACTTTCTTAGTAATGGTTGTTTATTAATAAATGCAAGATGTGGTTCCGTGGAAATCATACAAGATATGTCTTCTTTTAGTTGACCAATGAGATTAAAGCAGCCTCTCATTTGTGAAATGAGAACTTCATTTATTGCAAAGAAAAACAATATCACTGGATTCATCCTTGTACAATCAACTTTTGAAAACATAGCTAAACACCAAATAATTTTATCCATAATTTTATGTCACGAGCTGTACAATCAACAGATGCAATGTAGGTTCCAGTGCATCTTCTGCAGAATTCCAGGTACAGTGTTATAGGACAGTTTCTTGCTGCACAACAATTTGATGAATGAGAGAATTAGAGAAAAAAAAAATACCAGTTTCATTGTAGCTAAAGGTCCGTAAAAACCATCGTAAATAAAAAACATTATCATAATTTTAACCAGATTCTTTATCGAAGCTGTATCCTTCACAATGGCACCTATCTAAGCTAAAAAGTGCTAGTATAATGATGCATCAGCATTTCCACACATTCCCCAAGTTACTGAAAAGAAAATTGATAGAGATGAGAGAATGGTAGGATATTAAAGTTAGAATATTTTATCCTGATATATTAATTAGTGCTAATCTTAGAGATATTCATTGATTTATTATCCCTTAAATGCTATTATTTTCTTACCCCTGTTATAATCTATTACCATTTTATATTAGCTATAGTTTAGTGTATGAGAGAGGATTGTCAATAGGACAAGTATGAAGATATTTATTTTGTAGTAGCATAGGCTACTGGGAAAGTTTCTTGCTAGGTAGAGATTCTGCTGGAGAAGTTTCATACCTTGGAGAAGCTTTATACTTTTTGTTCGTTCCTATAATGTTATCATCAATACAATTACTAATTTTTCTTTTCTAGATCTATTACTCCTAACGCCTGCCGGATGAATGACAACTATAGAATCCCAAGTTGAAGCTATGGAGAAGGGTCAGCTTGCACGTCGACTCACTAATTTCGAGGAGGCCAAACAAAACTTATGGAGCTGGTCTCACAATTTTTTGTCTACTGAGCACAACATTCCGGTCGGCAAAGCCATTGACACCTCCCAGATCAATCATGTCAACAACGTTTCTACTATTTTGCCATATCCCTAGTTCTCGGGAATCACCGTGCCAAAATTTTGAAATTTGAGAGTGGCTGCAACTCAAATTCCTCTACTTCCTCTGTTCCATCGATTCTGGTGCTATCAGCTTCACAGCATGGTAAGAGTGCGAAGCTACTCGCCCCTCGTTTGGATTCTTAATGAAGATTTCCTTAAGGTCGGTGATCGACCATCAAGGTTGCAAAATCTATGGTTAACGCCTTCTCTTCTCCAATGGACATATAATTTGCGATTCTGACCTGGATAATGGTGTCCTTTTTTACAAGGGTCGTACAGTTTTGCTGTTTCCTCAGAGATTTTTTGGCGATTCTTACCTTCATAGTGGTGTCCTCGTTTACAAGGGTCGCACAGTTTTTCTGTTTCCTCAGAAATTTTTTTTCATTTCAGCCTTAAAGGCTGCTTTCTGGGAGGCGGCAACGATAGAGATGAGAGAATGGCAGGATATCAAATTTAGAATATTTTCTCCTGATATATGGAAACTTAAGTAGTGCTTAATGTTAGAGATTTTCATTGATTTATTATCTCTTAAGTGCAATTATTTTTTAACCCCTTTTATTACTTACTAGCGCAGAACCCATGCAATGCACGACATGGATAGTTGTAAGGCTATTTACCCAGTCTTATCATTATAGTCGTGAATAAAGAAAATTAAATGAATAGAATAAAGGAATGATTATATATTATTGAAACCTCCTAGCAGACAACATTTTTTGCCTTCTAGGCACACCATCCTCTCCACAAACTAATATTTTCACGTCATTTCGATTAGTGACAAGAAATATGCCTCAAAAGGTATCCCGAACGGAACGATAAGGGAACGGACTTTTAGAGCCGTGACCGGAAGAATGGAACGAAGGGATTGACTAGTCATCAAGCCCGAGTGGAGCTAAAGCAAGGGAAGCGATGCCCTAGTCGGGTATCGCGACCGATAAGCGAGCTTACTTAACGAGATGCGAGCGTACGCGATGAAGTAGCTTCGCATAATAGAAGCACGAGTGAAGTCATCGAGTTTGGGAGAGGAAAGAATGAAATGGAATAAGAGATTTTTTCTATTATATGTCGTTTTCTATTTCTATTATAAGTCATTTCGATTAGTGACAAGAAACTGCTACTGGTCGCAATAAAACACCAGCTTCTTCAAAAACATGCCAACATGTGATAAAGACTGACCATGCCACTTTTTAATCGTCATGGTATATAATGCCATTAGGGGAAACTGTCTCCGCTACAATTTGAAAGGTACTCTAATGTCGGAAGTTGTTAGAGTCATCTGACTCTAAAACACCTTCTCTCCTAGGTCATGTCAATCCCTTACATTGCTTTGTGACAACAAATCTTGCACCATTGCACAACCCCATAAAATGGTTAATGTTCCGCAACAACTGGGGTGTAAATCGTGGTTTGCCACTCCAGAACATGTGATAGTATTCAAAAACTCGTGGGTGTGTAAATCGGACGAAAAATCATTATCAGAATCATATCTGCACGTAATATCAGAGCTCGAGTATGTTTGACCATTAGTCACGTTCAAAGCGTCATCTACCTCCAACGTTGGGGCTAGTGTAGTTCTATCCTTCAAATAACTAACTAGGATCATTGGTTTCTCCTTTCAACATTGGTGTTATCAACACTTGCCACCATAGGATTATCAGTGGGGTCCAATCCAACAATATATCATCAGATATATCTATCAAGGCACATCCACCAATGGACCCTCCTATGGTTCCATCTATGATGCTCGCTATCTAATAAGCAAAAGTAGTCAGCTTCTCGCGTTCATCCAAATCACCAATGTTTTAAAGGCGCAATTTTTTTTGTAAGCTTCAACACAATACAGTCAACCAATATGTCAGAAGAACTAATGCAACATTGCAATATTATGACGACTCCCCTTTGAAATAACTGGGAGGATCTGTCGGAAGTCCTAATGGTTAAATAGGATTTCCTAGTAATTTTTGTAGTCATCCTTAAATTTGTGTTCAATCATTCGACTCGTATGCAGCTTCATGGATAGATTCATAGGTCTAATGACATTCTTGATTAGAGCACTTCGTGTTGGATTAAATTAAATAAGTATAATCATGTATTTGTGTAATAAAAATTTAAATTTAAATTTATAATTAAATTTAAATCGAAAGGAGGATGAGTAGAAAACATTGATCTACACTGAATTTATAGGGGAATAAGAATAAAGTACATTTTAGATAAGTTCCACTATTTGATATGAAAATATTTTAACAAAGGCAATAAATTGCCTATGATTCATGTCAATTTTTAAACGTGTGCAAATAACACTTATTCTATTTTGAAACGACAAAAATTTATTCTACATAATTTGTACGTCTTTTTGGTTAATCTGATGCTAGTATATATTTTTCTGTATTTTTCATTTATATATTGCAAATTAATCAATTAGTCATATGCAATGTGGTTATGTAATATTTGATTTTGTATTTTTATTTGCTAATCAATTATAATTTGATTATATCGGGTATATTGAATCTAATCGACAATATCGGTTTTTTTAGGTAGATCTCGTGTAATTTTTAGTTGTTTCAATTGTGAAAGTTTCTTGTGAAAAAAATGATCAGTACGATATACACAGTTTTTCTATAAAACCAGATGGTTGGTTTGTTTATGGAACCAACCACCAA